TTACGGGTTTAGGGTTTAGGATTTCGATGTTTTGGAGGCCTCAGCCCAAAATAATCGAGCCTGACAACTCTGACTGTCGCCGACCTACGCCCTAAATTGACCCAAAACCCAAGTTCCCCGTACTTTCTACATTTAGGGCTTTCAAGAAGAGCATCCAAAAAAGTAGGTTATGTGGTCATGGTAGTTGAAGGTAAACCCTAGGCCCTAGACCCTGCCGAGGTTCTTCTCTTCCGAGGAGTTCTTGCTGCTCGTTTGCACTGCTGTGTGCCGAGATTGCTGAGACACGAAGCATCTCGACGTGGTTCAGTGATGCTCCGTGATCGTGCAGGCCTTTGCAGTGTGCTTTCGTCTTCTTCCGACGACTACTTCTCTACCACCGCTGTTGGCTCAGATCACGGCAGTGGTGTTCAGTTCCGTTTCGGCATTGTCATTTCTAGACATCATGCATGCCACTTGGTAGCGCGTGGAATTTCCAAACAGGTCCGGACTTGCACAACCTCTTCGTGGAGAAAGATGTGTGGGCTCCTGAGACTTCGTCTGCCAGCGCTTTTGCCAGAAGGTCGCCGGCAGCAACCCTAAACCCTTCACAAAAAAACCGCAAGCAGTTTCTTGCGGCAAGAAGAGAAGCAGAAGCAGCTGCCGCTTCCTGACACTTGCAGGACTCCAGACATGTCGTCGGCTCAGATCTTGCGAGTTTAGGGTTTAGGATTCTCTGGGACCATGGGACTCTACAGTTATCAAAGGTAAATATACCTAGAAGTATTTGTAGCCGCAATTAACGTAGTTGTGACCTTGCTTACCAAGAAAGCGTTACAGACGTATAGTACCCTTCTAGAACATCCTATATGTCCTCTCAAGCACTTAAAAAAGGCCTGTCATTGTCCTGGAGCCTGCGCCAGATGGAAGCTGAGATTCTGTTGCTTTTTCCAGGTTCTGCATGCCCTGGTTCCTCACCCTCTTCGCCAGCAAAACACCGATGAGGACAGGTCGATTCCTCTTAAAGGGGGCCTAATAATTGCAAAAGGGTTGTTGTAGGAATCGATGGGGTTTACATGCGGGGTTTTGTGGGTGTTTAGTATAGGGTCCCTAATAATTTTAATCAAAATCCAGTTTGGGCTGCATCGTAGTATAGTTGTGTGGGACCTTAAGGGCATAGCGCCACCAATGGTTCAGACCCCTACAGAGCCCAACCCTGCGATGAGTAAGTGGTGCCCTAAACCCTGAACCCTAAAC